CCCCTCCTATGAAGATGGGCTGAGAGGGGGCTGTTCAGCCTGAAGAGAAGGCTCCAGGGAGATCTTATAGCACCTTCCAGTACTTGAAGGGAGCCTGTCAGAAAGCTGGAGAAGGACTTTTGACAAGGGCATGTGGTAACAGGACAAGAGGGAATAGCTTCAAATTCAAAGGGGGCAGGTTTAGGTTAGATAGTAGGAAGAAATTCTTCACTGTCAGGGCGGTGAGGCAGGTTTCCCAGAGAGGCTGTGGATGTCCCATCCCTGGGAGTGTTTGAGGCCAGGCTGGACGGAGCTCTGAGCAACCTGATCTAATGGGAGGTGTCCCTACTCATAGTAGGGGGCCTGGAAGGCTACCCTAAACGTCCCTTCCGGAGCCTGTCAGAAAGCTGGAGAAGGACTTTTGACAAGGGCATGTGGTAACAGGACAAGAGGGAATAGCTTCAAATTCAAAGGGGGCAGGTTTAGGTTAGATAGTAGGAAGAAATTCTTCACTGTCAGGGCGGTGAGGCAGGTTTCCCAGAGAGGCTGTGGATGTCCCATCCCTGGGAGTGTTTGAGGCCAGGCTGGACGGAGCTCTGAGCAACCTGATCTAATGGGAGGTGTCCCTACTCATAGTAGGGGGCTTGGAAGACTACCCTAAACGTCCCTTCCAACCCAAACCATTATATGATTCCATGATGTCCTTACAATGTAGTTTCAAACAAGGCACTTTGTCAGTGCCTCAAAAATAAAGCAGTAGTGTGACGGTTTGCTGCCTCTGGTGGGTTCAGCTTGAAAACCTTTCGAGGTTGTAATTGTCTGAGCCCTTGAGAACACAGTTCTTCACCCAGAAAATGTAACTGACTTGCAAAATGACCCCACGAGAGCTACAGCTCACAAGGAATTACAGTTTTCCCTCACTTTCCCAACAGTTCATTGCTTGTTATTAAATTCAGAAACTAATCAGGAAAATAGAGACCAGGAATACAAATGCTTTAAAATGGTGAACTGAAAACACAAATCTATGAAACACTGTAACCTCTCAATGGAGTAATTTAATAACCATTTCATATAAAGATGATGAGACTTTATTTTTTTTCACCCAGTGCTTGTCTAAAGCGAAAAAAACTTGTTAAAAGTGGTCTCTACTTGCAATAGCAAAACAAGAGAACCACCACAGTATCTAACATCAACCTAAACAGAAAATAATCTCATTCAACTGATGAATTCTGGAGATGTTCTCATATTTCAGTTGCAGTATCTTCTTACCTAGAGTCTCACTCCTGCTCATGTCCTGACACGTATTCTACCTCCACAGAGATACCCAATAGCAGGGTTCCTCCAAAAGGCAAGGAGACAGGCTGACCACAAAGGCTCTGACTTTGCAAATCACTGTTTCTTCCCTTCTGCACTAGGCAAACTCACACTGAATGGCTGACTCAGTACAAAGGTGAAATGTATTTTTCAGGGAGCACTACAGTTTCTACAGGGTATTTAATTTTTGATACTGGCTTCCATGGAGAACAGCATATTTGATGTAGCTTCTTCAGCCCCCTCAGGTTGTCTTTTTCTTTGTTAAAGAAGATTAGAGCATGGAGCAAGGTACTCTTATTATGTGCTTCAGCATACATATCTCAGATATTCCTGCAATGCCTCATTTACTTGTTAGTTTTATTTACAGCTGATGATTGCTCCATTTAGAAAAACAATTCTCAAGATGAAAAGTTCATAAATATGAACCTGCTTAGCAGCAGACTTTCAAAATGGTGTTATCACATCCTCCAGCAGCTACGTACAAATCAAGTTGCTATGAAAGCCCAAATGACAGTGTTTAAACCCTCAGTCCTCAGGTCTCATTGAAAGTATACTTCCTTTGTTCAACAAAGTATTTTAAAGCTGTTCTTTTCCGGAAGAGAAGCTAGGTCCATGGACGTAGTTTGGGAGCCTTTCATATAGGATAGAAGCACTCACACATTTGTCAGCATGAGCCAACACCATCAAGCTTTGAGTGCTGCCGAGGATTACATAAGGAAGTAATTTTATAAACACATTCTTGATAATCAGGAGGAATTAGGGAGGGTGTCTCTTGAACAACACCAGTGCTGGAACAGTAAAAGGTGGTGGATAGCCAGGAGGTTTTACTTCCTCAAGCACGTGGTAAAACCACTTAATTTAATGCATTAATTTCTTACTTAGGTTCAGCCCCAGCAATGTAAAGCTGTGGCCAACACAAAATTATTGGAGGTGGGTAGTAATAGCACATTTTCTTTTTTCTAGCTATATTTAAGCTTCACAGTTCACATTTAAGTTTTAGCTGCATTTGGACATACCCATTTTGAAAGAGATTTTAGATTATGGACTCCGTATCAACAGTGAAACTGTTGTCCATTGATTTATCATTGAAATTTTTTCTGGTCAGAAGATATGATAAACCACAAACATGGGAGAGGCAATATAATCTAGCATTAACTACACAGTCAGAATCAAAGTATCTGCTACACTGGAACACGCGATGTTCACCATTTGTTTGCCTGACATCAGTTGGGGCATTAAGAATGGCAAATCATGCATGCAGAGTTGGTTATTAGTACGGATTTTTGTCAACTTAAAAAAGATTAAAGATTTCAAACCAATTAAAGTAATTAGGTACTCAGTGTGGGGTGAGGGAACACATTTTGCTGGCTTCAGTCAAACTTTGGGAGTTAATGGAAAATAAATGCAATTCATGCAACTTTTGGAAAGGATAACTGCTGTCAAAATTCAGCCTGAAAAGATGTTGTTCTTCAGCTGGGGAGAAAAAAAAAAGAATTGGAGACTAAGTGGTGGCCAAGGAGATGTGAAATGTAAAATCCATATAAACAACCCAAGGTATCTTACAGATACAAACAGAGCAAGAAATATTAACTGCTTTGTGAAGCAGAACACTGTTAAAATACTTGCCATGAGAATTTTAACTGCTGCCCATGTAACATGATTTTTCACTGTTTCCCCCTTATTTCTGCTTCTCTACCTTGATGTCCCTCTCAAATGAGAAACTGGTCACAGATAGGGAAACTCAGGAACCATAGTTTAGGATTTCACAAGTATGGATTTGCCCGATGATAACCAAAATATATCATTCTTCACAAAGCTAAGTAAGAATCAATATTTGGGCTGTTTCCCGGCACAGACTAAGTGCACCTTATTCAACTCCTCTGAAATTCAATGCTACTTCCTCTAACAGGGTAAGTAGTAAATGCTAAAAAACTCGTAGATGGTTCTCCAACAAGGCAGGGAAACAGAGGTAAGGATGGGTGGCTACCTTTCATCTTCATTATAACTATACCATGTTCCAGAAACCCACCCCATGCTACCATGAGTCAACTTGTGGCCACCATCTGATATCAAGGCAAGCAAACACTGTGCTATTTTGAATGATTTTGACTCTAAAGTTGTTTGGCTTGTTTGATTATAAATGGATTTTCAGCTAGGTAGACCCCCATGACCTAAGAGTCCTCTGTTCAAGGAAGTTGCTTCAGCCTTTGCTGACCGACACCGTATTAAGCCCCTCCAGGAAAATAGACTCCCACAGGTCACTGTAGTGAACCCCCAGTCTGGTAGGTCCTCTCTTTTAGGTATCTCTATTTCTTTTTATTTGCAGCCGAATTTCCACTCATCTCAGGATGTGGGCAATAAAACTATTTCCCAAGCTCTGTCTTCCTCCCTTGATGCTCTCATGTCGTTTGAGACAGTTCCTCTTTCTTGCTCTTGCTCCCTATTCTTATCCTATGCAGCTCAAATGCTTTTCACCAGATTGGCTCCACTCTTACTCCACTCCCTTCCCTTCCCTATTTTCATTCCTGCCTCTGTCCTCCGAATCTCAGAGTTTTCATTTCTCTTACTCTGCACCAGTCCTACTCAAGCACTCCATTCCCCCTTCCCAGTACTAGCCCTGAAATTCTCTTGGTTCTACCCCTCCAGACTTCTTAGTTTTTCCAGCTATGTAGTCTTTCCTCCTCCAAGGAAAGTGTCTAATGGGACATGTCTAGATCATACATTTTATCTGCCCCATGCTCCTCCTCTGCTTTTCCAAGGACATCACTATCACTAGTGATGTTCCTAATGCTGTCAGGTAAATTACTCTGCTTATAGAAATAAAACCAATTCATTTAGGCAGGAAGGCTGGTACAGGTGTGGACACTGGGATTGTTCTGGTAGCCTGAAGAAGCACATGTGTGACAGAGGTACAACTACCCTTTTTACTTGCTCTGCATTGCAAGGTCAGAACAATGGTTATCCCTGAAGCTCTTTTTGCTGACTGAAAGGATCTATATCCTGTCTCCTGGGCTCAGCAATGGCAAATGGTGTACTTAACCTGTTTTAAGAAGTCTTCAGTTGTCTGTGTTTGCAAGTTCCTTGGAAAAAAGAATGTGCCTTAATGACTAGCAAGTAGAAAGACATACTGGTGTCTACTGAATGCCTGAAATGCACAAACTGATTTGCCACAAATGCATCAGCTGTCAGGATACTTGCTTTGGTTCTGAACAGCCTTTCAATCATACAAAGTAAGGCACTGCTACTAAAGAAGCTGAAAATATCCACCATTATTCTAACAGTAAACCACTGCCACATACTATAAAGCCCAATGTTTCATTCTTTACACAGAATGGTTAAGAAATTTGGTATTGTTTCACTCTAAAAGGGAAATATATATATAAAAATACCAGAGTGCAGTTGTACTATTTTAGTGTATTGCAAAGGCTTGTCTTCGGAAACAGGTTCTAATGCCACTTTCACACACAGGTAAGCTTCCAAAAGACTGTACTGAACTGACATGCATCAATATGCCACACTCTAATCCAATTTCACATGAAGAAACTATTTCAGGTGAAAACGCTTTGTCTGGCTAACAATCCACTGTATCCGTGTAGAAGCTACTCGAAAGAATTATGAAATCCATTTAGCAAGGCCACAGAACTTTTAAAATCCAGTATTTTGAAGAAAATAATTTTATTTGTATTTAACTGACCTTTTTTTAAACAAAGTTTATGGAATCAGAAAGCTAACAATGAAAGATAACTTTTAACTTGAGACTTAATATGGCAGATTCTCCACCCAAAAATATGTCAAACAGAAAGATCATAAAGAACTCCAAGGTTCTGTGCTATACTGTATGGTATGTAAACAGATTTTGAAAATACTTTTCTATTATATATTTTGACACAGTATGCACAAATTTAAAAAAATAAAATAAAAATGAAGTTCAAAAGTCTCAAGGGATTTCTTAGAAGTAAAGCCATTTGAAAAGCCATTTACAGTTTGCAGTGACGAATCCCTGCATAATCAAAATATCTCCTTTATCCACTATGCAGCATAACCTGCTGAAGGCAACTCCCTATCAAAGTGATGCTGGCAACACAGATCTGATTGTATGACTCCAGAACTTAAAAGAGCACATTGGTTATACATGGCTTTTAACCCTGGGCTACAATTATGCTACCAGAACTATATTCAAGTCTAAATCAGTCATGTAGAGAGGTGTGTGTGGTCTGAACACTGTTTAAAGTCCTTGTTCTCCAGATCTGATGCAGGTAGTGAAGGCGCTCTGATGCTCTTATGCTTACATTCAGGGCGGGATGAACTTCACAAATACCAGGTTCTCCAATTAACGACAAACCACAGATCCCAAAGTAGGCATGTAAAGCATCTGAAATAAGGACAGAAAAGGAAAAATAAAATTATTTCAGGCTGTAACAGCCAAGTATTCCCATATTCAAACACCCCTGAATAATTACAGCCAAGGAAAACAAACCATCAGGTGCTATATTTTAAACTTGAGCTTTGATGGAAAAAATCAGTTTCTGCCCAAAGCCACCAGGCATGAACTGGACTCCAGTTTCATTTTGTAACTGCTTGCACACTACTTCATTTTTTATTGAGTGACATGGCCAAAGAGCAAAAGAATTTAAGCTTTTGGAAGAAACTTCTGCCCAGAAAGCAAATTTCCTCCATGAAAGAATTTTCGGTGGATTACTTTATGAAAAGATAAGTACTGAAATACCAAAAGCAGTACCAATAGCTGCCAACAGCAAGATTTAGAAGAATGAAATAAGTAATTACTTTACCTAGCTTTTTCCTTCCTGAGAGAACACCCTGAGGATAGGAATTCATGTGGCTTGATCAACAGATGACTGCCACCAAAAAGGGATACTCTTACGCGCCTGTCCCATGCTGCTCCTGCTGCCTACCTTATACCAGCACTACAGTCTGCCTTCTCTAAGTAGCAGCAAGCTGTTCGATTGGACTGAATAGACCATGAAATCACAGGCTAGAGATGGAAGGACAATGTGAACTTCATATGCTCCTTAACAAATCCTCAACATATAGCAATCTGTGGAGGTGTCAGTAAATTCATACCTGACTAAAATGATCGCAGAATCACTGAGGTTGGAAAAGACCTCTAAGATCACCAAGTCCAACCCTTAACCCAGGACTGCTAAGCCCACCACTAAGCCACTTCCCTAGAGTGCCACATCTACGTGTCTTTTAAATATGTCCAGAAACGGTGACTCACCACTGCCCCGAGCAGTTTGTTCCAATGCTCTACAACCCTAAAATCCAACCTAAACCCCCTCTTAGACAACTTCATGCCATTCCCTCAGGTCCTGTCACTGGTCGTGAAATCAGAGAGAAGAGATTGGTGACTGCCCTCACGAGGAAGTTGTATACAGCAATGGGGTATCCCCTCAGTCTCCTCTTCTCCAGGCTGAACACACTTCCCTACCACATCTACGTGTCTTTTAAATATGTCCAGAAACGGTGACTCACCACTGCCCCGAGCAGTTTGTTCCAATGCTCTACAACCCTAAAATCCAACCTAAACCCCCTCTTAGACAACTTCATGCCATTCCCTCAGGTCCTGTCACTGGTCGTGAAATCAGAGAGAAGAGATTGGTGACTGCCCTCACGAGGAAGTTGTATACAGCAATGGGGTATCCCCTCAGTCTCGTCCAGAAACGGTGACTCACCACTGCCCCGAGCAGTTTGTTCCAATGCTCTACAACCCTAAAATCCAACCTAAACCCCCTCTTAGACAACTTCATGCCATTCCCTCAGGTCCTGTCACTGGTCGTGAAATCAGAGAGAAGAGATTGGTGACTGCCCTCACGAGGAAGTTGTATACAGCAATGGGGTATCCCCTCAGTCTCCTCTTCTCCAGGCTGAACAAGCCAAGTGACCTCAGGTGCTCCTCATATGGCATCCCCTCTAGACCCTTCACTATCTTCACTGCCCTCCTTTGGATACTCTCTAATAGCTTTTTATCTTTGTTATATGTAGTGTCCCAAACTGCATACAGGACTCGAGGTGAGGCCACACAAGTACAGAGCAGAGTGGGACAATCACCTCCCTTGACTGCCTGGCAATGTCTTGCCTGACGCGCCCCTGGACACAGTTGGCCCTCCTGGCTGCCAGGGCACACTGCTGACGCATATTCAACTTGCCATTGATCACGGCTCCCCAGGTTCCTTTCTGCAGGGCTGCTCTCCAGCCTCTTACTGCCTAGTCTGTACACAGATCCAGGGTTGCCCTGTCCTGGGTACAGAATCTGGCACCTCTCTTGTTAAACTTCAGATGGTTAGTGACTGCCCAGCCCTCTAATTTGTCTAGGTCTCTCTGCAGGGCCTCTCAGTTTTTGAGGGAGTTAATAGATCCTCCCAATTTAGTACTGTCAGTAAACTTAGTCAGTGTACCTTTGAGTCCTGCATCTAAGTCATTAATGAAGATGTTGAGCAGCACTGGGCCTAAGGTGGAGCCCTGCAGAACCCATCCGTGACTGGTCACCAGCCTGATACAATGCCATTCACCATAACCCTTCGTGCCCAACCTGTGAGCCAGTGGTTAACCCATCACAGGATATATTTATCCAGCTGTGGGCAGGACATTTTGTTCAGAAGTGTCCTAGTAGACACTACTGAAAGCTTTAGATTACATCAACTGGATTCCCTTGGTCAACTAAGTGGGTAACCTTGTCATTTAAGGAAATTAATTTTAAGACAAGTTAAGGAACTTTGTACATGACTGGTGTTCTGAGTCCTAAGCTGGTTTTCAGGGAAGCAACAGGAGCAAGTCTGCCACAAGCACTCTGTTTTCAGTGTGTGTTCACCTTGAAGTTTTTCAACTGTTGCTCAAAATGAAATTATGAAAGGATGAACTATCAGAGCACAGATTCCAAACAGACTATTCCTTTATTATGGCCAAATTTTTATCTTATTTAGTCAGTTTACAGACTGTTTATTCTCACTGTAAAAACTCACTGTAAAAAATGGCACAGGATTTACTTCCACAAGTTCGCAATACCTTCATTGAATTCTACCTGCTAAAAGATTTTAGCATCTTTTCAAGTCTTTCACTACTTGAAATTATCCACTTCCAAAAGGCTAATAATTAACTTAGAGATATACTGTTATAATTGCTATGTGTAACCACAATCCGTAAATCATAGTACGTAACTATGTAAACTTTGACTGGTTTTACAGACATCAGTGACGTCTGAATAAGCTGAAAGGATGCATTTCTAAGGAAACAAATGTTCTGATACATTTCACTCAATTTACAGAGATACCTACAGCACAATATTACCTTTAAACAGAACAGTCAAACATACACTAAATAGACACTGATGCTATTTCAACAGTAGTCTAAACAACAACAGCTCACTTGCTCTGTGGCTGAACAAGGTAAAACTGTACCTACATCTTTCCACTTGATTCATATAAATCTCATTACATTTGGAGGTGGTTTTCTTTTTCTTTTGAAGGAGACAACTTCCCTTACACCTCTCAGGTGTCTGACTGCTGGAATGTATTTCTAACTTAGAACACACTCACAGTAATTTTGAAAAGTAATTTTACCTGGATGGCTATCTGGCCACTTGGCAAATCCACCAACAAGGCGATCTTGAGTTGACAGGATGTAATTTCGGTTTTTCTCAAAATTTGTATATTGGAATATGTTCAAGAGCTGAGAAGAAATTAGACCATTACAGTAATATACTAAATCTTAGTATATTTTCAGTACTAATACACAGTGCTTATTTTGAGATAAGCTCTTTGAGATAAGACAGCAGAGACAGCACTGATCTGGTAAACCTCCATTTCCTACATTTTTGCAAGATGAAAGACCTTTACAGTGATCTGTGAATATTGGTACGCTTGTGCCAAATATCTAACTTTTACCAGCAGAGAAAATAACACTTAAAATGAAATCAAAACAAGTCAGTAACTATCCTGCACCTGTTCTGTACACTACCTTCAATGTTGCTCCCACCCAAAAGGAATAGCAAGTGTCTACAGGCTTGTTGGGTCGTCCATGGTAGCCATTCTGTTGTCTCATTATACACCATCTTCTTATTCTGTTCAGTTCTTTTTCGGAAAAAACTTCCTCCAGTTTACCCATCAAACAAAGTGATGCAATACCACAAAATGTAGAGCCACCTGTGAAGAGAGAGCTGATTTCACAATGCTTTGATACCTAGATTTTCACTGAAGCCTGTAGGATCTCAGTCAGAACTTTAATCAAGGTGTTAACAGTTAAATGGATTTTCAAAACTATGAAAATGTTAATTTTAAGTGTAAAATAC